CCGGCAGTGTTCATTTGCCTAATCTCAGGATTCAACTCTTTTACGCAATGGAAATCGAATACAGTTACCAACTCCCGCCTCCCAGTCAATAGTGATATCCCAGGAGGAGGAGGATACCCGATCAGGAGCCAAGATACAATTTCCAAGTTCTTCAAGGGGAATTTTTTTAAATATGAATAGTCGAACATCTGTCCCCGGATGAGGATGCGGGGGAGGGGGGGGAGGGAGAACTCGGTCTTGGACAAAAATTACAAAATGCACAGCGCCGCGAACGATATAGTCAGGGCCACATGCTCTTCAGTGACCCAAAAATATCATACCACTAGGGCATACAAAGGGCGAGATGTCTGTTAACAAACAAAAGACCCACACCAAAATACAGCACCATGTCTACGTTTTTTTTCAAAAAACGTTTTATTCTGTACGTAGAAAATTGGGCGGTGCGAAGAAAGAGAGGGGTGAGAGGGAGGGAGGAGATATACATGCTAGTCCTCCTGCCCGCGCAGCGTTGGCAACGGCGGCGGCTCGGCCGAATTCCTTGTGGAAGGCAGGACGGCATCTACTGAAATCGTAATAAGTAGGGACGCACACATGCGTCAACAGTCGGGATAACAGCCGGCGTCAGAGGCAGCGGCGACAGCAACGTCGGAGACGAGGACTATGACAAAAAACGTATACAATATACCTTTACACGACGAACCGAGTTTTTATGCATTCAGGGGTCGGATGAACAGAGAGAGGCTGGCATATGGGGACAGCAGCTTTTGAAAGACTAGTGGAAATAAACACCGAACTTGAAGATAGAAACCGCGAGGATGAGGAGGGTGGATGTAGGAGCTGTGCCTGTAGAGGCCTGGACTGTCCGATCCTGTTTGCTGGTTCACATGAGTACCAGCCAAAGTTGTAACGACTGTTCCTGTTTGAGAACGAACCCAGTCTCGTGATCAAGTCATAGGGGTGTCCCGGTGGCACAGTTAGATCCTCCCTAACGGGCGGTTCGAGATTGGAGGAGAGGGGGAAGCACTGCGCGTCCAAAGAATGAATTCGACAGTAAGCTCCAAAACACGGGTAGCGGAGATTCAGGTCACAGCGGAGGCTTGGGAAGAGTAGAGGAGACCGAAACGGCGCCTGTTCTGGACGTCTACTGAAGCAAAAATAACAGGTAAATTTCAATTAGTAACTAATGCGTCATATACGAATAGAGTGGAACCTCGGTTAACGAGTTTAATCCATTCCGGCACCGAGCTCGTCATGTGAAACACTGGTCTTGCTAAACGTAGCCAATCGAACTGCATCAGTTCACTGATTGGCTGCAGGCGACCGAGGACCCATGCCCTGGGAGCAACACTCAACGGCAGACACACTCACTCACACACACACATACACAAACTGACAGCTCTTTAACTGAGCGGAAAATCTACAACCGGAACAACGTTCCTGCGAGTGCCTCCCTCGTTACCTGAAGTGCTCGTAGACGGGACTGCCCGTCTTCCGGGGCTCTAATGTACTAGGGGGTAAGGATGACACGGGAAAAGGAACCGCCCACAATACATGTGGCCCTGCAATGAATTCCGGCAGCATTAGGTTTAGGGTTATGATCAGGGTTAGGGTTATGTTTAAGGTTGAAGTTAGGGTCAGAATTGAAGTTAGGATCAAAATTATGTTAAGGGTTAGGGCTTCGTCGCGCCTTAACCGTAGGGTTTTGATTTTTAGTAGGGCTAGGGTTTAGATTAGGAGTTTTCATTTAGTGTTATGTTGGGGTTAGTGATGAAAGCTAACACGGGGATATCTACCTTTCCAGCAATTTATTGCAAGGCCAGCTATTTGAATTGAGCGGAGGGGTCCTCTTCTCCCATGTCAGGTTTAGGCGGTCATACAAATGCTCCATACCAAAATTGTCTTATAGATGGGATGTGTGTTTCAGTAGTACCGAATAGGGTTAATTAGTGAATTCACAATAGTTATGCGTGAGGCAGAAGTCTCATTTGAGGCCAAAAATTCAAATTAGATAAGAATACCCTCAGAGAAGAGAGGGAACGCATTGTTTCCTGCAGTCTGTTTCCTCAACGTTTAGAACTGACACTCAATAGAAAGGGAAAAAAACACCACAGCGAACCTTGTCCATATTGGGTGAGGAGTTTGCCGGAGAAAGAGCCACCGGCACCCCAGCGGAGTCAGGACCATTGCGGTTGTTGACTCCTGGCAGTGTGGACGGAGCCCAGCTCCCCTGAAGGTCAGGAGGAGACAACCGGCGGCTGGCGGCCGCACAATGATCTTGCAGAAATGAGTTCACTAGGGA